GGCGTTATAAGAGTTGTGGACATAAAAACAACCAAAGGTACATTCCGGCGCCCTCTCACCAAGGTCGCAGTTCTTGGGGGGGAGAAAATGTAATAATCCATGCCTGCCTTCTTTCTTATGTTAAAACTACCTTCTTTGAACTAACATATGTTTTATTTTATTATTATGATTTTGTAAACATTATCCAATTCAAATACACATCTTTTGTCAAGTCTATTAATTTTGTCTTGTCTGTCTTTAATATTTTTAACATGGTCAAAAATGAAAAAAAAAACTATCACCCCATAAAACCCTCCTGTATACCTCCGTTCCCATAGTCCATTCATGCTGGCTCACAAACTCGTTCCAATAGAGGTTTACACCTTTGTACAACATTTTTCCAAATTGGATCATTTTTGCTCAAGTTATCTTACTAACAAAAAAAAGCCAGATAATAAATTTATTTAAGGATTTGAACGGATTGTATTGGTCTCAGGGGAACTCATAAAGAAAAAAAGAGGTCCAGGCCCAAGTCCAGGTCTTACCATGAAACATACAATAAAAGCATATTCCCTAAATAAAATCTCGGCTCACCTTGAAAATTTAATCACTTGCACATATCTAATAGTAATTGTAGTGCCTGACGACTACTAACCTGTATATAAATCTTTATTTTAACAGATGATATTTATTTGTTTACTAATTCATTCAATTATTATTGTTCACTTAAACTTTTACTAAATACACGCATTTTTACTCTTGTCTAGCATTTGTGAGTTCACAACTTCAATTGGTGACCCCGACGCGATCCGAAATGTCAAACGGAGAACAATCAGTACACAGAATTCAAGTCAAGATCCCTCCTTTCTGGCACTCAGATCCAGAATTGTGGTTTGCACAAATCGAAACCCAGTTTTCTCTAGCGGGGATCACGGTCGACGAAACTAAGTTCTATTACGTCTGCGGTAACCTAGATGCGAAATACGCAGCGGAAGTGAGGGATATCCTCACCAACCCTCCAGCAGAAGAAAAGTACAACAAATTAAAAAAAAGAACTTATAAAACGGTTTACCTTGACCCAGGAACAGAAGACGAAACAACTTTTGGAACGAGAAGAGTTAGGTGATCGGAAACCATCACAGTTCCTGAGGCACATGCGTACTCTAGCCGGAACCATGATACCTGATCCACTACTGAAGTTTCAATGGCTTAGCCGTCTTCCTTCAGCAACACAAGCCATCTTGGTAACACAAAAGGCTGCGGACCTCGATACACTGGCGGAGCTTGCGGATGCTGTCCATGAAGTCAGTCCTCACCATCAAGTATCGGAGGCGTCCTTATCAACCCCGATGGAAGAAATGATGGAACGCTTTACAACCACGTTGACATCAAATATTAGAGAAGTAACAGAAAAATTTCAACAAGAAATAGCAGGAATCAAAGAAGACATGAGACGTCCAAAATTCCACAAGACATCAGACACATATCCTCGTAGACGATCATGGCAATGCTCCAAGAATCGATTTGATCGCCATGACGTCTGTTGGTATCACTGGCGGTTCGGCGACGCAGCAACGAAGTGCACCGACCCTTGCAGATTCAAAGGAAGCAGATCGGGAAACGACCCAGGGAGTCTCTAATGGCGACAAGCGACTCCGACCTCACATGTTCCCGTCGCCTATTTGTCACCGATAAGGTAACCAAACAACAATTTCTAGTTGACACGGGAGCTGATGTATGCGTCTACCCTCGTAATATGTTAGATAAAAAAAGACCTAAGACTGACTATACTCTATATGCAGCTAATAATACTGAGATTACGACGTATGGTCTTGTATCTTTGCCTTTGGACTTTGGTCTACGCCGCTCATTTGTTTGGCGTTTCATCGTAGCCGATGTATCCAAACCAATAATAGGGGTAGACTTTCTACACTATTATGATCTGCTTGTTGATGTACGACGTCAATGTTTAGTTGACCAGTCAACTTCGTTTTTTTCCAAAGGTCAACCTCCTTCAGTTCATTTAGTGAGTAGTGTTAAAACTATTAAGTCTTGTCAACAGACAGTTTTCTCTCAATTACTTCATGAATACCCAAACCTCACCAGACCTTCAGGTAAACCTGATTGTACTTCCAAACATGACACAGAACATCATATTGAGACAACACCAGGACCTCCGGTGTTCAGTAAACCCCGCCGCCTGGCACCGGATAAATTTAAACTCGCCAAAAAAGAATTTGAATCCATGGTTCAACTAGGTATAGCTAGACCCTCTTCTAGTTGCTGGTCTTCTCCCCTTCACATGGTTCCCAAAAAAGGCGATGAGTGGAGGCCATGTGGAGATTACAGGGCTTTGAATGCTAGAACTATCCCTGATCGGTACCCTGTACCCCATATTCAAGATTTCTCTCACCAACTTCATGGTAAGACAATATTCACCACCTTAGATCTTGTTAAGGCTTATCACCAGATTCCGGTTGCTGCTGAGGATGTCCACAAGACAGCAATTACCACACCTTTTGGCCTGTTCGAATTCCCTTACATGTCATTTGGACTATGCAATGCTGCTCAAACGTTTCAACGCTTTATAGATGGCGTACTTAGGGGTTTAGACTTCTGCTACGCTTACATCGACGATATCCTAGTAGCTTCAGAGTCAGAAGAACAACACGTATTACACTTAAAACAGCTCTTTGACCGTTTTTCTACTTATGGGATCCTCATTAACCCAAGTAAGTGTGTTCTAGGAACATCAGTCGTTAACTTTCTAGGGTATGAAGTATCTGGAGAAGGTATCAAACCTTTGCCAGAAAAGGTTAGAGTCATCAACTCATATCCTAAACCTAAAACAGTTAAGGAACTAAGGAGGTTTATTGGCATGATAAATTTTTATCGAAGGTTTTTGCCTAACACGGCGGAGCATCAAAGCTTACTAAACGAACTCCTGAAGGCTAATGTGAAGGGAAATTCACCTGTCAACTGGACCATGGCAAGTAATGAAGCATTTGAGGCTTGCAAGCAAAGCCTTAGTAAAGCTGTGATGCTGTCTCACCCTGTACCAGATGCTCAATTGGCCATTTTCTGCGATTCTTCCGCCCATACTGTGGGGTGTGCGTTGCAGCAAAAGATAGGTGATAGCTGGCAGCCGTTGGCCTTTTTCTCAAAAAAATTAACCTCTGCTGAACAAAATTACAGTGCCTACGACAGAGAGTTGACAGCAATATATTTATCAGTAAAGTACTTCAAACATATGTTAGAAGGTAGGCAGTTTACCATTTTCACAGATCACAAACCACTCACTTTTGCATTTAAGCAAAAAGCTGACAAATGCTCTCCCCGCCAATTTCGTCACTTGGAATACATTGGGCAGTATTCAACGGACATCCGCCACATCTCTGGACAAGGTAATGTGGTAGCTGACACCCTCTCCAGAATTGAGACGATTGCCGTTCCATTGGACTATCAGGCATTAGCAGACTCACAGAGCAAAGATGAAGAGTTAATACGTCACATGCAGTCTGATTCCAGCCTGAAACTTCGACAGATCCCAATACCAGGAACACAGGTTTTGCTTTACTGTGACATATCTACTTCCATCCCTCGTCCCTTCATCACAAGGCCATTTCGACAAACCGTTTTTAACAGTTTACATAATCTCTCCCACCCAGGTATTAAAGCTTCATTGAAACTTGTCAGTCAACGTTTTGTCTGGCCTTCAATGAACTCTGACTGCCGTAGATGGGCCCGTTCTTGTATGGCATGCCAAAAGTCCAAGATATCACGTCACAACTGGACTCCTGTAGGTATGTTTGCTCCTCCATCTTCCAGGTTTGAGCACATACACATTGACCTTGTTGGTCCGCTACCTGTCTCCGAAGGTTACAGGTACTGTTTGACCTGTGTTGATCGTTTCTCAAGGTGGCCAGAAGCAGTACCAATCGAAAACATAGAAGCAGAAACTGTAGCACGAGCACTTTTTACCACTTGGATTTCTAGATACGGAACACCACTACGAATTACAACAGATCAAGGTCGGCAATTTGAGTCAAGCCTGTTTAAACACCTAGGAGATTTGTTAGGTTCGACTCGTCTCAGAACAACTTCCTATCACCCATCGTCAAATGGACTAGTTGAACGTTTTCACCGTCAACTGAAGGCAGCCATCAGATGCCACGCAACAGCACGATGGACTGAGGTATTGCCCGTCATACTTTTGGGAATACGGACAGCATGGCGTGATGATCTACAAGCTTCTTCAGCTGAACTCCTGTATGGTCAACCACTTCGCCTACCTGGAGAGTTCCTTACACTTAGCGATTCCAACCATGAACTTGACCCACAAAGTTTTGCCAAAAATCTGCGTCAGCATTTCAACAACTTAAGACCAGTTGATGGAACAAGACATGGAGGTAGGACGCCATTCGTGTTCAAGGATCTCAACACATGCACTCATGTCTTCGTACGTACCGACATTTCTAAGGGTGCACTCGATCCCCCCTACTCAGGTCCTTACCTCGTCATTAGAAGATCTGACAAGACTGCAGTAATTCGGATTCGAGGCAATGATGTAACCATTTCAATGGATCGACTTAAGCCAGTCTATTCCTTACAACTCGACCATGATGACACCAGCGTTTCCAGAGGCACCATAACTACTACTCCTCCCTTTTCTCATTCTGACATTCAACAACGAGGTACATTGACATCTAAACCTATTCTGAGATCTACACCATTAACTACGCGCTCTGGGAGGCAAGTTCATTTTCCAGTACGGTTCCAGAGTTGATTTTTTTTCGTGTTTGCTCAACTACACAGCTCAACCACTGGCAAGGGGGTACTGTAGTGCCTGACGACTACTAACCTGTATATAAATCTTTATTTTAACAGATGATATTTATTTGTTTACTAATTCATTCAATTATTATTGTTCACTTAAACTTTTACTAAATACACGCATTTTTACTCTTGTCTAGCATTTGTGAGTTCACAACTTCAGTAATTAACAAAGAAGCAATACATACTGTGACTTGATATTGAAGAGCAAAAGTAGTTACTGGCCAGATCTAGCAAACTTGAGGAGTGTTGAGGAGGTGCTGGGTGGGACACTGCAATGTCTAACACTACCACACCCTTGCTGTCTCCCACCTCTGAAACACATATACAATAAGGTCAAGTAGTAACTGGATAGATCTAACAAACTTGAGGAGTGTTGAGGAGGTGCTGGGTGGGACACTGCAATGTCTAACACTACCACACCCTTGCTGTCTCCCACCTCTGAAACACATATACAATAAGGTCAAGTCGTAACTGGATAGATCTAACAAACTTGAGGAGTGTTGAGGAGGTGCTGGGTGGGACACTGCAATGTCTAACACTACCACACCCTTGCTGTCTCCCACCTCTGAAACACATATACAATAAGGTCAAGTAGTAACTGGATAGATCTAACAAACTTGAGGAGTGTTGAGGAGGTGCTGGGTGGGACACTGCAATGTCTAACACTACCACACCCTTGCTGTCTCCCACCTCTGAAACACATATACAATAAGGTCAAGTAGTAACTGGATAGATCTAACAAACTTGAGGAGTGTTGAGGAGGTGCTAGGTGGGACACTGCAATGTCTAACACTACCACACCCTTGCTGTCTCCCACCTCTGAAACACATATACAATAAGGTCAAGTAGTAACTGGATAGATCTAACAAACTTGAGGAGTGTTGAGGAGGTGCTAGGTGGGACACTGCAATGTCTAACACTACCACACCCTTGCTGTCTCCCACCTCTGAAACACATATACAATAAGGTCAAGTAGTAACTGGATAGATCTAGCAAACTTGAGGAGTGTTGAGGAGGTGCTGGGTGGGACACTGCAATGTCTAACATTACCACACCCTTGCTGTCTCCCACCTCTGAAACACATATACAATAAGGTCAAGTAGTAACTGGATAGATCTAACAAACTTGAGGAGTGTTGAGGAGGTGCTAGGTGGGACACTGCAATGTCTAACACTACCACACCCTTGCTGTCTCCCACCTCTGAAACACATATACAATAAGGTCAAGTAGTAACTGGATAGATCTAGCAAACTTGAGGAGTGTTGAGGAGGTGCTGGGTGGGACACTGCAATGTCTAACATTACCACACCCTTGCTGTCTCCCAACTCTGAAACACATATACAATAAGGTCAAGTAGTAACTGGATAGATCTAACAAACTTGAGGAGTGTTGAGGAGGTGCTAGGTGGGACACTGCAATGTCTAACACTACCACACCCTTGCTGTCTCCCACCTCTGAAACACATATACAATAAGGTCAAGTAGTAACTGGATAGATCTAACAAACTTGAGGAGTGTTGAGGAGGTGCTGGGTGGGACACTGCAATGTCTAACATTACCACACCCTTGCTGTCTCCCACCTCTGAAACACATATACAATAAGGTCAAGTAGTAACTGGATAGATCTAACAAACTTGAGGAGTGTTGAGGAGGTGCTAGGTGGGACACTGCAATGTCTAACATTACCACACCCTTGCTGTCTCCCACCTCTGAAACACATATACAATAAGGTCAAGTAGTAACTGGATAGATCTAACAAACTTGAGGAGTGTTGAGGAGGTGCTAGGTGGGACACTGCAATGTCTAACACTACCACACCCTTGCTGTCTCCCACCTCTGAAACACATATACAATAAGGTCAAGTCGTAACTGGATAGATCTAACAAACTTGAGGAGTGTTGAGGAGGTGCTGGGTGGGACACTGCAATGTCTAACACTACCACACCCTTGCTGTCTCCCACCTCTGAAACACATATACAATATGGTCAAGTAGTAACTGGATAGATCTAACAAACTTGAGGAGTGTTGAGGAGGTGCTAGGTGGGACACTGCAATGTCTAACACTACCACACCCTTGCTGTCTCCCACCTCTGAAACACATATACAATAAGGTCAAGTAGTAACTGGATAGATCTAACAAACTTGATGAGTGTTGAGGAGGTGCTAGGTGGGACACTGCAATGTCTAACACTACCACACCCTTGCTGTCTCCCACCTCTGAAACACATATACAATAAGGTCAAGTAGTAACTGGATAGATCTAACAAACTTGAGGAGTGTTGAGGAGGTGCTAGGTGGGACACTGCAATGTCTAACACTACCACACCCTTGCTGTCTCCCACCTCTGAAACACATATACAATAAGGTCAAGTAGTAACTGGATAGATCTAACAAACTTGAGGAGTGTTGAGGAGGTGCTAGGTGGGACACTGCAATGTCTAACACTACCACACCCTTGCTGTCTCCCACCTCTGAAACACATATACAATAAGGTCAAGTAGTAACTGGATAGATCTAACAAACTTGAGGAGTGTTGAGGAGGTGCTAGGTGGGACACTGCAATGTCTAACACTACCACACCCTTGCTGTCTCCCACCTCTGAAACACATATACAATAAGGTCAAGTAGTAACTGGATAGATCTAACAAACTTGAGGAGTGTTGAGGAGGTGCTAGGTGGGACACTGCAATGTCTAACACTACCACACCCTTGCTGTCTCCCACCTCTGAAACACATATACAATAAGGTCAAGTAGTAACTGGATAGATCTAACAAACTTGAGGAGTGTTGAGGAGGTGCTAGGTGGGACACTGCAATGTCTAACACTACCACACCCTTGCTGTCTCCCACCTCTGAAACACATATACAATAAGGTCAAGTAGTAACTGGATAGATCTAACAAACTTGTGGAGTGTTGAGGAGGTGCTGGGTGGGACACTGCAATGTCTAACACTACCACACCCTTGCTGTCTCCCACCTCTGAAACACATATATACAATAAGGTCAAGTAGTAACTGGATAGATCTAACAAACTTGAGGAGTGTTGAGGAGGTGCTAGGTGGGACACTGCAATGTCTAACACTACCACACCCTTGCTGTCTCCCACCTCTGAAACACATATACAATAAGGTCAAGTAGTAACTGGATAGATCTAACAAACTTGAGGAGTGTTGAGGAGGTGCTAGGTGGGACACTGCTATTTCTAACACTACCACACCTGTGCTGAAGAAACTTTATCAACCTCAATATTTATGCGCAGATACTAAATATCTTCAAAGTTTTTATATGCACTTAAAACAGAAAAAAGTACCACAGTGATACTGTTGTTATAAAGTCCATACAATACAAACTGTTATTAGGTTTTTAAATTTAATGCAACTGTTATGATTAATCTTAAGTTTTTTTTTAACGGAAGAATTTTAAATTTCTTTTTCCTTACCAATTGGTAAAGAGGTTGTGGCGAAGAATGTCTCAAAGAGTTTTGTCAATGTAGCTGTCAATACACCTGAAGATGCTGTTTCACTGATTACCTTAAACAGAAGAAAATGTCAACTTCTACCATGGATGATGACAAATCATGGCTCATTCATTGAAATATCATTGTTTTATACCTCAATATGTACATGTAAAAATAAATTACAAAGATTTACGGGAACTCTTTGAATGTGAGGAGGATACAATAGTATTTAAGCTGATGTCAACAATTGCTAACAGATGGTGTTACCGAAAGCGCTACAACCTAGTTGTTCAATGAGTTACTAGGTAGCAGCACTAGTTAGGCACAGAACGTTTTGATGACATTTTTCAGCTGAACCACAACAGTAATCATAAATGGTGTTACTGTGGCTTTACTGAGAAACAAGTTTTTTTCCTAAAAAGGTTATATTATAATAACCTTATCAAACTAAATCAAGATTTAATTCAATACTAGATAAACCCGTTGCTCAAAATCGAGCAAAACTGCAGCTTGTAATAAAAGAATAAGAAAAAAAACATAAACAGCAAGACCTCAATCAAAGAGTCATTTTAAATTAACTTCTATGACCGATTATAGAATTAAGAAAAAGTACCTGGGGACCGAGCTTTGCTCGGAGAAAATCATTAGTTCACTCTGAAAGCAGTCTTAGTATCGGAGATACATAAATCTGTTCCCAAACTCCACACGGCTCGCCTTTACAACGTCCTACACCATTTCCTACGTCATGGACCTGTTTCCCTCCATTCCCATAGCACTTTAAGATTGTAGATACCTTAATCTAATCGTTATTAACAGTTCCCACACTCCGGACAGCTCGCCTTGACTACTTCCTTCACCACTTCCAACGTAGCGGACCTGTTTTTCTCCCTTCCCATAGCATTTCAGAATTGCAGATACGTTAATCTAATCGTCATAAACAGTTCCCACACTCCATACTAATCGCCTTTACTACTTCCTTCACCACTTCCTACGTCGCAAACATGTTTCCTTCCCTTCCCATTGCATTTAAAGATTGCAGATACATTAATCTAATCGTCATAAACAGTTCCCACACTCCGGACAGCTCGCCTTGACTACTTCCGTCACCACTTCCTACGTCGCGGACCTGTTTCCCTCCCTTCCCATAGCATTTTAGGATAGCCCATACCCTTATCTAATCGTCATAAACAGTTCCCACACTCCGGTCAGCTCGCCTTGACTACTTCCTTCACCACTTCCTACGTCACGGACCTGTTTCCCTCCCTTCCCATAGCATTTTAGGATTGCAGATACCCTAATCTTATCGTCATAAACAGTCCCCACACTCCGGACTGCTCGCATTTACTACTTCCTTCATCACTTCCTACGTCACGGACCTGTTTCCCTCTATTCCCATAGCATTTTATGATTGCCTTTACTACTTCCTTCACTACTTCCTACGTCACGGACCTGTTTCCTTCCCTTCCCATAGCATTTTAGGATTGCAGATACCTTAATGTATTCGTCATAAACAGATCCTAGACTTCGCACTGCTACCCTTGACTACAATGTCTCGAGTAATCGTGATGTTTTTCCTTTTGTACTGTATTTGTAATTTGCTAGTATACTGAGGGTAGTTGGTTTATTATGAACACGTGCTACAACTTCAAGTCTTTTGTTTACCTTTTCCTTGTTATTTAATTCAACCAACATGGTTACTTAGCAACCCATAAGACTAATGTTAAAAAAATGTGACTTTCAGTTTCGTTTTTCTACGTAATTAGATTTTTGTTGGCAGTTCTAACTGCATGAAACTTGTTTTTAGGCCAAAAATAAACTATTTACAAGATTTGAAGAAAATCGTCGGAGCCGTTTTCGAGATCTTTCTGCAAGCAAGCAAGCAAGCAAGCATACATACAAGCAAACATTGCTCGTATTAGAGTATAGGATATTATGTTCTAAAAAATTATTAAAGTCATTTTACAATATTTAATTAAATATAGATCCACTCTCATGCTGCTTTGGTTATCTCTTACGTACTGTAGGCGGGTGCCCTCTATGAGAATGTAGATGTCAACCACACACTGTAAAATGAACTGTTCACACCTAAGCTAAATCTCTATATTGACAACAACCAGTACGACACGTATTGTTAAATAATTTCTACCATATGTTCTGTTTTAAGCATGTTTAAAATAGAGGTTCCAACCGAAGTCCCCGGTTGGGAACATAGGAGGGTAAGCATGCGGATCTAACGATGGATCTAGAACGAATTCACAGTTAACATTATTAGTTTTTGAAAAGAAAAAAAAATACTAAGATTTATTTGGCCAGGGGATGTTCTGTTTTCACTTTTCAGCTTTAAAAATAGCTGCGACATCTGTACAGGTAGCATCATTGTAGCGAGGGAAGTCACTTCTTTTATCTCTTACTGTCTTAAAATTAGTATTTAAGTTTGAGCAAAGGGCTTCATCAATTAAAGTCAATCTGCATAGTCAGCCATTATAATTGAGAAGGACGATAGTTACATTGGATGACAGTGTATTGAACGTTACAGGTCACCAACATAACAAAACATAAAGTCCAGTTTGTACAACATAAAATAAGATATACAATTATTAGCATTGAGTAAATTATAACAATATATAAAACAATATATACGACTTTTTTTTTTTGTAAAATGTGAATAGGTAGTGAGAAATAAAAACATTTTCCAAATTTGATCAAAATATGTTCACAAACAAGCAAACTACAACAGTTTAATTATTCTCCATAAGAATAACATGGGAATTTTAAATTTACAATTTTTTGGAATTTTCTCCGTAACTATTAGGCGCATAATAACGCTTCAATATACTAAATTATTTGTTTTTTTAAGCTCTACAAAATGGTATGGAAAGAAATTGCTAAATTTTATGTTTTTTGGGTCAAAAATAGGAAAAACCTATTTTTACCCCATAAAACCCCCCGTAAACCCCCGTTCCCATGGTCCGATCATGCTGGATCGCGAACTCGTTCGAATAAACGTACGTTTACACGTTTGTACCAAATTTCATCCAAATCGGATCATTTTTGCTCGAGTTATCGTGCTGACGGACACACACATATATATATATATATATAAATATATATATAAATATATATATATATATATGAATTTGAACGGATGGTGTTTTTGGCCTCTAGGGACCTCAAAACGAAAAAAAAAATCGGTCCCGCGTCCAGGTCTTACCATGAGTACTACGGTAATAGCTTATTCCCTATATGGGAAATTCGCTAAAAGGAGGATTGATCAAACATGGGCATGATCAACATCGAGACCACTGTGCTGCGATAGCAAATATGGCCTGGAAAGGGGTTGAAGTCGAGTCTATTATGAGAGAAGCTGATCCCGCAAACAATGTGCTTAACATTGTCTGCTATTTGTTGTGAAACAGACATAATTTTGGTAACATAAGCGTCCATTGAACCAAATTCAGAAAGTTTAGTATTAAATAAAACTCTCAATAAACTTAGTCATCTAACTAATCCCTTATCCTCAAATGCATTTTTAAGATTGTCCCAAGCCTCTTTTGCAGTTTTTGCATTTCTTACGTGAGGATAACAACAAGGTTTTGCAAATTAACATATTTTAGCAAGTGCTTTTTGGTCTTTTTTCTTTTAACTTACCAAACCTTCCCCTGGAGTTACCTCACTTCCCTTTGTATCATCCGGTTCAATTGTATTCCATATATCTTTGTGTATTAGGGCCATTTTCATTGCAAAATTCCAGTTATTGTAGTTGGAAACTCCTTCAAGCAGTTCAATTCCTATTTTCATGTCTCTTTCCCCCATTTTAAAAGATACTCCACTATGATGAATAATACCAATGATAGCAGCAGTAACAAATAGAAGGAAAATAGCTATGTTGAAAATAACTTACTTTCAGGATTTACAATGAAAAAAATTTACAAATTGTAAAAGGCCCATAACCTAATGTAATGTTAATGTAATAAATAGCCCAGAAATATAATGGAAAACGTTTTTATACTGAACAAATATTATTAATACATCTTTTTTTAACAATTACACCAAACCAAAACATATAACATCCAACATACAACCATAACATACAAAAGGTAAACAAGACAATTAGTATTTGATCAGGTGATGATGTAAAGACAAGATGAGAAATATTACTTCTCTAACAATCTTCAGTCTAATATTTTGAAATGCAGTGTATAAGTGAATGTTTCGGACCATTTTTTATGCAGTAGGTTCCCCCATTATTGTTTTTGAAACACCACGGTTTATTTAACAAAAATAAATTAAACCAAAACAATGAAATGGCCATCGTTAGCTTAGAGGTCAAGCTATCCGCTTGCACTGACAATCGTCTGCTCTTTACACAACTGTCTGCTGTGCACTTGCTATCTCACAACACGAGACCTTACCGTTAAGACCGTCACCGCCCACCACCGCGCCGTGCAGAACGCATCATACCGTGCATAGCCGAACTGTTCGTGGGAAATTGTTATCTCGTTGTTATCTCTCGTTTGTAGGTTAAATTTAAATTAATTTAACTGTCATAACCTAACCAAACTAACCAAACTTGCTGATAATGAACATTTCGAATGAAAGTTTACTAAAAACAAAAATAGTTCTGTTCAAAAAATAAAATTATAAATGTCTCAAAATCAATTATATAATTTTTTTATTATAAAATTAAACTATCATAATCTAACCAAACCAACCAAACTTGCTGATAATGAAAAAAATCGAGTCAAAAAGTTAATGCCTCCGGTGGGTTTCAAACCGGCTACCTCCAAAACATCAGCCCGGTGCGCTATCCACTAGACCACCGCGACATACGGCTATTCAACGTATCGTTGCGGTAATGGTGTTCGCTCGAGCAGTGGTGGGCGGTGGCGGTCTGACGGCAAGGGTTAATTCTCACAACAGTTTATGATTGGGTGATTAGTAACCATGGCAACTTGTTGAATGTGTGGATGAAGAGAAACCAAAGAAAGAATAGAAGAACAAAGAAGAAAGAATAAGAGGTGTTTTACGTCATCCATTGTAATCTCTATCCAATTTTACGACTGACGTTATTAT